TTATATGTGAGGGGAGGTTATATGTGAGGGGAGGTTATATGTGAGGGGAGGTTATATGTGAGGGGAGGTTATATGTGAGGGGAGGTTATATGTGAGGGGAGGTTATATGTGAGGGGAGGTTATACGAGGGAGGTTATACGTGAGGGGAGGTTATATGAGAGAGGTTATATGTGAGGGGAGGTTATATATGAGGGGAGGTTATATGTGAGGGGAGGTTATATGTGAGGGAGGTTATATGTGAGGGGAGGTTATAACTTATACGTGAGGGGAGGTTATATGTGAGGGGATGGGAGGTTATACGTACAGTCCCGTGTTAAAACATTTTTAGATACTACATAAAATATTAAATCGGTAGAGTATTTAAATCATAATTTCAATAACATATACAAATGAATAATATATTCCGTTAATATTAAGATTCTTCACTTTATTTTATAAGACATGATTCGGTATATTCTCAAATTTTAGTGATTATCAGTAAAGTCTTATTATAAAAAAGCTTCGTACTGCGTCATGAGCGACGAACTGTCGACCATCGATGTATTTAAGGAGAAAACAACAAACTCTTCAACGCTCATTTTCGTCTTAAAATATAATTTTTTATATTCAAACTCCAGATCTTAACTATCTTAACTATAAAAGAATTAAACTGAACGGCAATTAATTTAAAAGCTTGCTTATTTCGACTACATCTGAAAAAAAGTAGTTGAATACAATTTTATTCTGACCATTAAAATAAAGACAGAAAACGTGCAAATTTCTTACGGGGACTAAACAAAATATCAATAAAATGCCGGTATATACACATAACTGATTGAAGTGCAACGAGTTCACAATAATCAGATTTATGTATGGGTATATTTTACACTTCTTCTAGCCATTACCCCCAGAAAATGTTCTAAGACTGTAGTATTAACAATAATATTTATTTACTATGCAATTAACTTGTTTCTGACGTTGCTGCTGTACTCTCTCGTCGAACATGAACATATCCGTACACCAAAATGTGTTGCTTGGTCGCCAACGAGACATGTCGCGTTGATGTGAGTAACAGACAGAGACAGGCAGAGTCTGTATATGGGAAGCATTGTCGAATGACTTGGTCTGCAGTGCATTGCTGTCGAGAGTGAAATGATATAAACTGAAACTTTTTATCATTCTGACCGTCGACAGTTCTTTTTTGCAGAATATAGTTTTTTAAAGAACAGTTTCTTTTACTGTCTCTGTCAGATAATTTTGACCAAGTATTTCCCATCACAGTCTCTGTCATTTCACGATATATTTTCCTAAACACTCTCTGAAACTTTAAAATCTATTTCCTAAATAGCCTCTGTCAGTTGACAATAAATTTCCATAAGCAGCCTCACCAACTTGACAATCTATTTCTCTTCACAGTCTCTGTCAACTGATAATTTATTCCAGTTCACGATCTGTTTCAGTTTAACAGCGTTTCTTTTTCCCCGTTAGCTTTGCTTTTCAGTCTGTATTAAACCTTCCATACATATGGAAGTTTATTATTAATTACATTGTCCGCTGACAGAAACTGTGAGGGTAAATGGACTATCAACTGACAGAGATAGTGAGGGCAAATAGACTTTCAACTAACAGAGACTGATAGGGGAAATGGACTGTCAGACTATCAACTGACAGAGACTGTTAAATAGTTGAAAAAATGGACTGTCAAGAGACAAAAATTATAAAGGCCAATAGTGTCTATGAACTGACTGAGACTATCAAGTGACAGACTGTGAATAATTTAAAAGTCCACAATGGAACAAAATTTAAGCGTCGATAGACCGTAATGTACTGTGAACTTTGAATATAAGTAATGAGTTACTGAACGCTGAATTTCTTCTAAATCTTCGTCAAGAACGCCGACTCTGTAGTCGTGTCCAAAACAAACAATCGCATTAAACTATCACATTTCAGATCAGTTTGGTGCTTGCCCATTTTTGCAAAAGAAGGTAAATGGCTCTAAATGTTTGAGAAGTGCAGTCATGAACTTACGATCACGAGACTGGTCTGAGTATACGGCTATTCTGATCTGACTATACTATATACCCCTTACACTGATACGTACGATACTATGCGCCGCATACTGATCTGAGTATACGGCGTAGACGCTGAGCGTAATCTGAGCTTTGACTGCAGCTTGATACGCGCGAGAACGGGGCTACGCGCACTGTATACCATTTGTACGCTCTTAACTCTCGTGTACGTATAATGTGTACTATCGTTTGAATGCATATGAAAGGTTTTGTGGACGCCTAATTTTCCTGTAAATATATACTTATTCATGTAAATATCCCCCTGAGAATACGAACTTTGACGATTGCATCGTTATCTCAGTCTTTGAGTAGCTGGTGTTGCAGTGCGCACTGCACACTTCGCACTACTCACTGTCCACTGCACCGAGCACACTTCACACCGCGTACTGTACACTGCTCACTTTGCACTATTCACTGTCCACTGCACCGATCACACTGCACACTGCTCACCGTGCACTGCTCACTTCGCACTACTCACTGTCCACTGCACCGATCACACTGCACACCGCGCACTGTACACTGTACACCGTGCACTGCACACTGCACCGAGCGCCCAGCACACTGCTCACCGTGCACTGCTCACTTCGCACTACTCACTGTCCACTGCACCGAGCACACTGCACACCGCGCACTGTCCACTGCACACTCCACACAGTTCGCTTTGTCCACGTCAACCCTACACAGCACCCGCATCGTGTCCACCTCCACTGAACGTTTCCGCTGCTGGTGATGAACTACGCCCTGACAGACGCCCGGGAAGTCAGGACATTGGGGCATTTAAAAAAAAATATAGCTCAGTACTCACTGCAGTGAGTAACAGAGAGCTCATTTTCTCGTCGACTAAAACGTGAAGTCACGGACGGACGGACAGACAGACGAACAGACGGATATGGCGAGCACAATAGCGCCTTTTTTCCATAAAAGAGAAAATGCGCTAAAAACTGCGTTGCGACACATCCACGCGACAACATTTCTTCTCGCTTCGAATCACCGACATGTGGAACAGCCTACCCGATTACATCGTTAATTTGGCGCTCCGATTATGAACGCGTTCGAGAACAGACTAGATAAAGCTATGGAAAAATATATGTTCAGGCTTGAAATGCCTAGCACCATATCGAACCCGGTGGAAGTCTAGTAGCTATTTCAAACTATTGTTAGTTGTGAAAAGATCCGGTCAAAGGACATGTTTTTAGATCTCCTGTGGACAAGTCACGAAAGGCACAAGAATCGACGACAGGCCACATCAGACCTACACTCTTCAGCGCCAATATCACCAGGATATGTTATGATATTGTTGGGGACTAATCAATAAATAGGCTTTCTTAGACCCAAACATTTGACCGAAAGGCGTTCCCTAGCAATATGATATGATATTTAGGACTTCAGAACATCGATGGAATTTGGGACGCCAGAGAACACTTGATAAGCTTGGTTAATTGAGAAGCTGAGGCATTGCGGCACTTGGGTTGTGGGACTTTAGGTCAGTCGGACCCTCGGGACGTCGAGGCAATAGGAACATGATTATCGGGACTTTTAAACACTTTCGACATGAGGTCGTTGACAAGTCTCTCGAGTTGACAAGTATCCCAACAAGTCTCGTTGACAAGTTGGGACTCTCGAACAGTTGGGACGTCAGTGTGTTGCGAGGTCGGGGCGCTCGTGACGTCGGAAAACTTGATATTTCAGGGAACTTGGGACGTTGAGCAGTCGGGAAACGTATAACTTTTGGGGCAATTTATACGTATGAGCGATCATACGTTGGGATGTCAGGACACTTGGTACGTCGGAGCACGCAGTAAGTAGAAAAACTTACGACGTCTTTATGCCTCATTAAGGGTACGTTGCTGTGGCCCGCTATGGTACGGTGCTGTGGCCCGTCAGGGTACGTTACGGTGGATCGTCATGGTACGTTGTTGTGGCCCGTCACGGTGCGTTACTATGGCCTATTACGCTACGCTTCCCTCACTAACCCCGGCAGCGCGAGGGTAACAACCCTCCACTGCGAACGCCCTCAATACACTGACGCTCTGACCAAAGTTATAATAAACTCTTAAAACAAAAATTGTTTTAAATACCAGATAGGATGTTACTCTCAAGATTATCTATGTATACCTTAGCACAAAGTATGTAGTTTTAAAGCACAATATATAATGTTAATTCAATATATATTAGAGACGACGTTATAGTTTTCTCGTTGTCAAGCAACGACTCCGCGATCAGGGAATTTTCGAGTGCACGAGAACGGTGCATCCTCTACAGCACTACACCCAGAGAAATGCGTTAAACTTTGTGCAAAAAGATGCACATTTTGTCTCCTTTTGGGCCATCCTGATACAAGTTGAACCAAGCAAAGGGACGTATCATGGGCTACCTGCAGAAAATGTGTCACTTTTGCGACAATATGATCCAGGTTTGAGTGTAGGGATCGAAGTGGTCAAAATCCGCGCACATATTGCGGGAAAAATTCACATTAAACAGCGCTCTTTTCAACCGTTTTTAAATTGT